ACCTAGTTAGTGGCAATCTCTTTAAAAAATCGGGCATCAAATGTGTTTATGAATCCGACAAACTTGTACTATCCCTTATTGAAAAATTTGTTGGAAAAGGCTATTCGTGTGAAGGAATGGTCAAATTATGTACCATTGACAATGAAATAAATAAAAGTAATTTTGCTTATGTTGTGAATTTATTTTCATTATGACATGCTAGATTAGGTCATGTTGGTAGAAATACAATGAAACGCATGAAAAAATCTGATTTGATCTCATATGATGAAAATGATGAACATAAATGCAAAATATGTGTAGAATCTAAAATGATTAAAAAATCATATTAAAGTTAAGAGAACCTCTAGTATTTTAGAATTAATTCATACTGATATATGTGAATTTAATGATATGTTAACTAGAGGTGGAAATAAATAGTTCATAACTTTTATAGATGACTTTTCTAGATATACTTACGTTTATTTGATAAAATATAAAAATGAAGCCTTTGACATGTTTAAGACATACAAGAATAAGGTTGAAAATTATCTAGGAAAGAAAATTACAATTTTAAGGAGTTATAGAGGTGGTTAATACTTTTCCAATGATTTTAATTTGTTTTGCGAACAACATGAAATTATTCATCAATATTCTGCACCTAGGACACCCGAACAAAACGGCATGGTCTGAAGGAAGCATCAAAGAAATGGCATGAGAAGTTTGACTTAGCAATAATATCATTCGGGTTTAAACATAATAGCGTTGATAAATGTTTATATTCTAAAGTTTGTGATGATTATGTGACATTTATATGCTTGTATGTTGACGACATGCTGATTATGAGTAATCACATGGACGAAATAGAAGAAACGAAGAGGTTTCTTTCTTCCACATTCAAGGTGAATGATCTTGGACAAGTGGATACCATTTTAGGTATCAAAGTCACAAAAACTAGTGGGGGTTACTATCTAAGCCAATCACATTATATTAAGAATGTGATAAATAAGTTCAAACATTTGAACATAAAAGAATGTAGTACCCCGATTGATCCAAGTTCAAAACTAATAAAGAATGATGGAAGAACGATTACTCAATTGGAATATGCAAGTGCTATGGGGAGTTTTATGTATGCTGTTCAATGCACAAGACTGGATATAGCTTATGCAATAAGTAAACTTAATAGGTTTCCTAGCAATCCGAGTAATGATTATTGGAAGGCTATTGTGAGAATTATTGGATACTTAAAGAAAACCAAGAACTTGGGCCTACAATATACTAAATTCCCGGCGATATTGGAAGGATTTACTGATACTAGTTGGATATCTAGCACGAGCGAAAGTAAATCCACTTTGGGTTGTGTATTCACTCTTGGAGGAGATGTTGTTTCTTGGAAATCAAAGAAACAAACATGTATAACACACTCGACCATGAAATCTGAATTTGTAGCTTTATCGGATACCGGAAAAGAGGTTGAGTGGTTAAGGATCTCTTATATGAGATACCTTTGGGATCGAAGAATATCTCTTCAATACCTATCATGTGTGATAGTCAAGCCACGTTAGCAAAGGCATATAACGAGGTATACAATGGAAAGTCTAGACATATGAGCCTGAGACATAACTACATAAGGAAATTAATCAAAGATGGAATAATTTCTCTAAATTATGTAAGGTCAATTGAGAATTTAGCGGATCCTTTAACTAAAGTACTAAATAGAGATTTAGTGACGTCTACTTCGAGTAGGATGGGGTTGAAACTTCTTCACTAAAAAAAGGTTCACCAATGACGGCAACCTTACCTGTCATTATTTAAAAGCTAATCCACGGGTTCAAAGGGTAACAACAAGTCATTCGATATGTAGATGGTTGCAGCATTATTCAAATCCACAATGACCCTATCCTAATTAAATAATGCTGGTTGTTACTGAAATGAGGGTTGAGCTTAAAACTCTTAATGAAGTTCGATGCTAAAACACAAGTACCTCTAAAAGTAACAAAGGTACCGGAAGAACTTCACCTAGACTAACTTCAAGGTGGTGCCGCCTCAATAGAGAGTTGGAGTTTCTCTCTTAAGAGTTTGTCGAATAGGATGAGCGCAAGGCCATAAAAGTGCTAAGCGAGTTGAGGAACTTGAGAACATGTGATACTTATATGTGTGTTCTTACCAGTATTGTCACAATGAATAATTGGTTCAAAGCTTCCATGCTACCTGATAAGTATGTTTTTACACACTTATTTGATTCACAAACTTGACTTAATCATGGATAAAATGGTTGAATTGTGACTTAATCTAGTTAAATTCATGCAATGTAGGTATTTCAATGAAAATTGTGGAATTCAGGAGAAAAGAGCCGAAGAAGGACCAAAACGCAACAAAGTGATAGTTTGAGGACCAAAGGTGCAAATATTGAGAAGTTGAGCTAAATGCAAAACGAGAGTAACAACATACCGAGTATGAGCTTAAGGACAAAGCAAAACAATTGGAGGGAGAAAGTATTGAAGAGGGACTGAAATGAAGACAATTGAAAGTTGGAGGACTAAAGCGCAAATACTTGAAAGATGAGCCGAATGAGTGGCATGAGATTTTATGGTGTCAATCATCAATTGGAGGGTAAAATTTGTTGAAAAGATGAAGAAATCGAAGAAAGAAGTCAAAAGAAGCAACAAGGAAAGTTCGAGGACCAAAATGAAGGGACTTCATAGATGGCCAAACTATGCGACCGCATAGTGTAACCATCTATGCGGTCGCATAGATGGATGCAGGAAAAAATTGGTGAATTTCAAGTGACCTATGCGACTGCATAGGATCCTTCTATGCGGTCGCATAGGTATAATTTCGGGGCGTTTCTGCAGTTTCCTTTTTCGACTCCAACTCTTTTTTTAACCTGATATAAGATACGAAAAGACGTCCAGAAGAGGGGGGTACACGGTTTTGGGAGCAAAGAGGCACACATCAAGATCCAAGAATTAATGCAAGAAGAAGGAGGATTTCATCAAGATTAAAGATTTCAAGCATCAATTATAATAGGGTGATGTCTTCTTCTTTATTCAATTCTTGTAATTTTCTTCAAAACATGATAAGCTAATTTTTTATTTCATTGGGAGTCGATGGACCTTTGATTTTCTTATAAATTCCTATATTTCATGAGTTTAATATAAATTGTCTTTGAAATAAATTGATTGATTTATATTGTTTTGATTGAATCCATGATTTATTGGCCATTTATTATGTGATTGTGATGGTTTATTCTTTACATTCGAAAGAAGTAGAATAGACTCGATATATATAAATTGACATAGGGTCCGATAGGGGATAGAAATATACCCCTATGCTTTATACAGTTCGGTAATTGTTCATAGAATTTCATGCGTTTTTGTATGTTACATCATCCATAGAAATATAGGCTGATGATATGCAGAAATAGATCTAATATATATCGAGAGAGTATATTAGATAGGCGTAGGAACATTGAATTGACAATTTTCTATTGATTAATTGGATTTGTGAAATTAGGATTTATAAAAATCAAATGGGGATTCGATATCCCAATGATTTTATTTCAACTTAATCTGCAATTTAATTTACAACATTGCATATTTACAATTTAATTCGTAGTTTGATTTATCAATTTAGTGAAATTTTGAAAGTAGGGTTCTTGATTTTGAAATTAGGGTTTTCAAATATGGGGATTTTCCCCAAAATTAGGGCTTTTGCAAAATTAATCACCTTTCTACTCAATTGGTATCGGTTAAGGTCACAATAGTTAAATTAGAGTTAATTCAATCCTCGTGGGAACGATATTCGGACTCATAGTCCATTTTACTACTTTTCAAGATCCGTACACTTGCGGTAGTTTTTAAATCGAAACAAATAAATACGTGAACACTACCTCTAATTCCGACTTTACTTTGTTTGAATTACACTATGGTTAGATTCAAATCGAGAGATATATAATCCTTATGCATAAGTGTCGTCTTTTTAAATATGTGATCTTATTGATTTTGAACAAGTGAGGGATTGTTGAATATTTGTTCAAAATCAATGGAATGATAATGGACTAATTGTTGGACTCAATTGTGGAATTGGTAGAATCAAAAGAAATTGAAAAATGAAAATTTTGATTTTTGCCTTGTGCGTACGCGAGATGTGCTTTGGCAAAATCAGAATTGATTTTACTTCTACTATGCGTACGCACAATTTATACTATGCGTACGCATAGTGTTAAAAAATAGTCATTGGCTGATTTTTCAATTTGAAACTTGGGAGCCGTTTTGAATTAAAAGTTGTCACTTTTCATCTTGTTTTGGCATCATTTCGTAATGTATTGATTGATGCCTATAAATAGGTACAAATACATTACAAACAAGAAATACATACATTGTTCCACAATTAATCAAATCCATGCTATAACTTATATTCATTTCTTCTTTATTGTGTTCATCAAGTTTTGACGGAAAATTTCTTTTACTTTGTTATTTTCTGCATCAAGACTTGTTAAAATCCTTCAAACCATTTATCATAACACCCTTAAGCATCTGGAGAGGAGGAAAATATAATTTGAGGACAACGATTCCGTGTTCATGCCTCAAATTAATTCTTGACATATTTCATAATTTTTATTCATTTTTGTTTCCATAATTTTGTTGTTGTTTCTTCTCCAACCTCTTATTTTCAACCCCTTATGTTGGAGTTATTTTCCAACAGAGATCATTTGGGTTGAGCAGACAAAGAGGAAGGTTTTATATTTCAATTTTAATTTTAATTTAATTTGACTTGTTTCGAGCGTTTTCAACTGAACACCCGAAACGCCAAAAATTCATTTTGAATTAAATGCTATAAATTTTACCTTGTTTTCAAAGATAACATACCAAACGCATTACAAGTACTTTAAAAAAATTGAAAATCGAAAACAGCCTGAAAACGGCACACACCCTTAACTTTCGATCAACTAACAGAGGTCCTTCCGCCATACAAGTTTGAAAGGTTTGAGATCAACACTGCCACAAGTTAAAAACTTTGGGTGAAATCAACAAAAAAATTTGAACTTTTTGAAACCGTGACTACAATTATCCAAATAACATCGTCTCCATATTTGTAGCAGGAAAATAACCAAGCTATTGTTACAATAACAAAGAATCTATAATAGAATCATAAGCGAAGAAATATAAGTTTACCCCGTGAATAGGACTATAGGAGAATAGACTAGCAATAATTAGAATGGAAATAATAGGCATGTGTGTCGATGCCGGCCCTTGTGTTTCCGCGTGTATCGATATCCAGGCACAATCAGAGCTAAAATTTTTGGGCATACAGTTCACAGGTAAGTATATCATCCATAAGTGTAGCAGTTCTCCCAGAACCCAAGACAGGAACAAGGTTGAAAAATGGCCCTTTATCAATGTCAACTCGACTGCTCATTTGGCCAAACTCGTTGAATGCACGGTTAAAGATTGTTGACAGTGTTTCATAAGAGATTTGAAGACTTGTTGAGTAATAGATCCTCAGAGTCTACAAGCAGAAAGAAAAGAATGTGAGAGAGACAAAAATCAGAGTTGCCAACAGTATATGAAAATCTAATAGAAGAAAACAGGTAGAATAAAGTTCTGATCCTGTCACTTTATCTAACAAAGCTATTAAACTTGTTTATAGTTTCGAAAGATACGTATTTCATGTCATTAATTAAGTCCATTTTATGATTGTCAGGTCCTTGAATCCTCCTAAAACCAGAGCCAATTTAAATCCTCTCTATCTGGAAATAGTTTTTGTTACTAAAATGCTATAAGATTTCAGAAGTCAGCCAAATTCTCTATCTAATCAATAAAGCCAAAAATTTGGCCAACTTTTCAAAATGCCTGAGAAGAATGTTGAAATGGATCTTCTATTATTTCCAGTTACTGAACATAAAAACAAAATACTTTTTAAGAGCAACAACGAACTAAATCTTATTTCCAGTATACCAAACACTTTCAAATAAAGTTGGGAGACGGCATATTAGAAACAATCCATAGGTGGAGAAAAAAAATCAGAAGCATGATTTAAACGGAAATTAGCAGTCCAAGGAGCATCTAGATGCCTGTTCTTCACTGAAACCATGACATAGGAAATGTATGGTATAACTAGGGAAAAGGCCTCAAGCACAGGGAGTATTAAACTTTTACCCAAACGGCCAAACCTATAGAGCCAACATGAAGTAGTAAGGAATCAAACTCAAATGTACACTAGAACAATTTCGAGTATGCTTGTGCACTATTGATTAACAGTAACGATGTATGGTTACTCATTCTCCATCTAATGTAGATATAAAGATCCTTGCTGGCAGGGGTGAGGTTATCTCATGTCTTGCTCGCAGCCGCAGTGTGGGGCTTCGATTCCTGAGACATGGAATTGGACTCCTTATAGGCGCAGTGTATAGGCAGCTCTTGATCACTGGCCTATTGGAACACATCCCGCGATTTACCTCCCTCAAAAAGCTCTAGGGACGGGGTGGTGAGGGCCCTCAAGGTTGGGGTTCAACCTCTTTTTT